GAAAGGGTGGTGCATTTCAAATATCTTGGCATTACTTTGGATCAAAATCACAACTTCAACCAGCACACTTTAGGTGTTTACAAATGCTGTAACAGACAGTTATTCGTAAACTTGGACACTTGTCTGTTCTGCCTCGTCTTGTTTTGTATCGCAGTATAATTGAGCCAGTTCTTATGTATGATCTCATTTGTTTCTTTCATATGTTAACAGTGACCATTAAGAACAAACTCTTGAAGTTAACCTATTTAGCTAGTAAAATTATTGGTATCCCAACCCCTAATTTATTGGACAGTGTTTCTACACTCACGCACCGAAAGGCACATAAAATCTTAGCGTATACTCACACTAGGCACAGTTGCCTTGAACAAAGCCCGAGCGTGACTATCCCCCGTCCCCCGCTGGCCTGCACTCACACTTGCACTAAACATACCGGGCCGGAGCACGCTTATGTCATATACTAGGGTGACCATATTTTAGTTTTCAAAAAAGAGGACACTGAGGGCAGGATGCCGACCGCGGTGGGGGAGTGGGCAGATTGGTGGGGTTGTTGGGTTTGAGGGTGGTTAAAGTAGCCTCCAAATTAGCGCGATCAACATATCCCAAATATCAAAACTCAAAATATGTCATTTCCATACCTAAAATTCTACATATTTTACACCGTTATTGATCATAAACACAGCTAAAAGGCTTTCACTGGCCATTCTTCAGTTTTATCATAGGTAAAATGCAAAATGTTTCAATACAAGCATTTCAGTCAAATGTAATTTATGCAATATTTCAAACCTTTAACCCACGGGAGAAAATCAACCCTCCGCAACAGTTTAAAATCAGCTCAATTCCGTGCAAAAAATGCAGATTTGGCAACCCTGCATCCAACACAAAGCTGCATCCAAAGTGATTTAAATACTCCGCATATTGATAGCGGCTCCCTGATGCGCAAAAATTATATTCAATATTAGAATGTTTGCAGGAGCAGGCCAGAAATTCAGCGGGAGCAGGATTAAGAAAACAGTGCGCAGGGCTTAAATACAAAAACGCACACAATGAATGCCGACTGTAGACAGCAAAAGCCGAATCCCAGACATTTTGGGGAAATTTAGAGATCCCGGCCAGATGCATTTTTTTAGATCCAAAAAGAGGACATGTCCGGGGATAAGAGGACGTATGGTCACCCTACATATACGAGATAACAGGGAGAAAACCACTTTCGCTAATAGACTGCCTAATAAATTTATCATTTATGCCGTGCAGTGATTTTCACTTGCATGTATCAGAGGATTATTACAGCTGATGCTAATGAAAGAATTTGCAGCTTTACTTGCCAACTACAATTACTGTTCATCAATAAGGCGAGAACCAGACCCGTTATAAACCTAAATATACTTGATTTAATTAAATTAATTGACAAGTATATTTAAAAGATATTTACTGTCGTAATGATGACAGTAGCGCACACAAAATAGTAGCTGTTCTGTGCTCCGGCGTGGTTAGCAATCACACTACATACGTACCGTGCCCGAGCCCAACTGAACTGTGCTCTGGCCCACCTCTTCCAAGCGAGCCAGGGTCGGCTAAACGAACCACGTCCGGGCACGGTATGGAGTGTTCACACTAATCAAATGAACCAGGCTTTGGGAGTCAAACGCATTTGGGCACGATTTAGATCGCCTACTGTGAGTACACCCTTAAATGACTTAGACCAACCACTCTATCAATATTTCACTTCCCTTCCTTCTGGCCATAGGTATAGATTAGCCATGTGTAGAAAGGCTAGCTATAGTAAGAGTTTTGTTCCTGTAGCTATAAGAGCTTTAAATACATAGGAAATCAGTAATTGTACAGGGGGGGTATGTCTGTGATTGTTTTGTAAATCATTTAGCAGATTTTTTTATCCAAAGCGACTTTCAGTGCATTCAGGCTATACTTTTTTTTGTGTTTTGTGCATAATACTGGGGTTCCCCCTCATATGTCACACTCCAGGATTCCCCAACGACGCTTAAGGCGCCTCAGTGAACTGACACAGTGATATAAGACCTCAGATCTCAGAATACACTTTATTGATGATTATGCGAACTGTATCGACAGTTAAGCAGATGTAGAATATGAACGAACGCTCAAGGTTTCACGCTGTTTCCCACAGAAATCTGTTAAAGAAAAGAAAACGCAATGACAGCTATTAAAAGACCAAATTCAGATCTTACTGATGATGCCAACTATATACAGGCAGAAGAAGATATGAACGCAAGTTAAGGAACGTGCAAAACTGCACGTTAAACATTTCCCATAAAGAAAACACTTAACGTGGTTTATTGCCTCAAGACAGTGATAATAAATTATTAAATTCGGCATCTAATTAATAAAATATATTACTGTATATTATGTACATTTAAGCAGATGAGCCCAGAATATGAGCCCACAACCCACAAAGTTTCACCAAACCATTTTTTCTCCCATAGAAAACCAAGCGCGGTAGTTTTAGGTTTGATATTCGCTGCATATTCGCCTAGGCTGCTTTAGGGACCGTCTGCAAATTTA